ATTTATTTTATTTTTAAATATTTATTTTATTTTTTTATTTATTTTTTTGTGTTTTCCAACGGTTATTCCAACGGATCGCCGTTGGAATGAATTTTAAATTTCAACGGACAGCCGTTGTAAATACCGTTGTAACATTTCGACGGCGTTTCCAACGGATATTCCAACGGATATCCGTGGCAAATACCATTGTAAATCCGTTGGAATATTTCTAACGGATATTCTAACGGTCCCGTCGGAAAGTAGCCACGGATGTCCGTTGGAATTTCCGTTGATATATCCCGACGAACAAATCCGTTGGAATTCCGTTGAAAATATACCACGGAAAAACCGTTGGAAATCCGTTGAAATATTCCAACGGATGAAGGCGTTGGAATTCCGTTTGGAATTTGCCACGGAATTCCAACGGATCTGCGTTTCTAACGACTAATTTCCAACGGATATATCCGTTGGAAATCCGTTGGAAAAGTTGAATTCCAACGGATTTTCGGCCATTTCCAACGGATTTGCCGGTTGGAATTTGGGGTTTTTTTTGTAGTGGGTACCTACCAGGGTCCGAAACGAGAGGACTATCGGAGAGAGATAGACGATGATTCTGATCCAAGGGAAAATGAGCAGGTTTGCAGCCAAGTAGACCAACCTCGGAGATAATATAAAGAGCGTACTTCCGTTGACAAATGTAGATCCCGTCCTTGCTGTGTGCAACTTCCTACCCGAGAAAATACTTGAGCACGCCTAAGTGTACCTACCAGGGTCCGAAACGAGAGGACTATCGGAGAGAGATAGACGATGATTCTGATCCAAGGGAAAATGAGCAGGTTTGCAGCCAAGTAGACCAACCTCGGAGATAATATAAAGAGCGTACTTCCGTTGACAAATGTAGATCCCGTCCTTGCTGTGTGCAACTTCCTACCCGAGAAAATACTTGAGCACGCCTAAGTCCTTCATGTGGAAACAGGATCCAAGATAGGACTTGAAGGCATGTAAGGCAATGGAAGAATTTCCGGAGATAATCAAATCATCCACGTAGACGAGAACACACAAATGGACAGCACCATCGCGAAAAATGAAGAGAGAGTGATCCAACTGTGATTGAACAAACCCGTATTTGTGTAGGGCCGAACGAAGTTTCTCAAACCAGCATCTTAGAGCTTGACGGATTCCATACAATGACTTCCGAAAACGACAGACGTGACCAGGTTCGGGAGACTCAAAACCCGGGGGCATACGCATAAACACTTCCTCACGGAGATCACCGTGTAAGAAAGCATTATGGACGTCCATCTGATGTATCTCCCATTGCCGGATGCAGCAACAGCCAAGAAAGTGCGAACCGTAACCATTTTAGCGACCGGTGCAAAAGTCTCACCATAATCCAACTCGTCGACTTGTCGATTGCCTAAGACCACTAACCGAGCTTTATAGCGCTCAATCGATCCATCCGAGCGATACTTGATTTTAAAAATCCATTGGCAACCGATAGCTTTCTTGCCCGAAGGGAGAGGTTCAACGGACCATGTACGGTTGTTCTCTGAGGCGTCAATCTCACTCTGCATGGCTTCTTTCCATTTAGGATCGCAGATGGCTTCCTTATAAGAGCGGGACTCGGTTCCGTTGGTGACAGCAGCTAGGAAGACACGGTGAGCTGACGAAAATCTCGCACAATTAATAGAATGTGTAAGAGGATATGGGGTACCTGAAGAAAACTGAGGACCGAGTGGCATCGGGGACGGGCTCGAGGTGCAGATGGTGTTAATGACATAGCCCTGAAGACGTGTGGACGGAAATCAAGTTCTCTTCCCACGACCGAGATCCTCATCGGGGACAGAATCACAAGGCTGAACAGAACAGCCCCCCCTTGTCGTTGTCATCCTTACTGACCACCGGCGAAACATCATTAGAAGGCGAGACAGAACTATTCGAAACAGACACAAGAGATGGAACAACCTCGAGTGGAGAAGTAGTCGGTGCTGTGGAAACCAAAACAGGATCTTCTTCAAAGAGAACATGCCACGAGGTCGAGGAAGAAGGCAAAGCAGATGGAGATGCCGCCGAGGTTTCCAGGAAGGGAAACCTGTCTTGGCAAAAAACGACATCATGGGAGACAAAGAACCGACGTTTGTCAAGATCATAGACGCGCCAACCCTTCTTGCCCGGTGGATATCCTATGAAAACACAACGTATGCTCCGTGGAGCAAACTTGTCACCTCCATGACCTTTGTTATGAACGTAGCACAGGTGCTATCCCGAGCATGATTTTCCTACCCCCGAGGGGAAAGGGCCTTCCCTTTTGGGCCGGTTGTGGGCGAGGAGGGATTCGAACCCCCTGGAATCAGTATGGGGCTGATTGATGCAGTCCACGGTCCGAAGATGCTGATAATCCGACGTCAGAGATGTTGTCGCAAGTAGAAGACATCGAGAGATCGGGAAAAGAAAAATAAGATCAATGATTTTCGTGCTCTGATACCATGTCACAATGTGAAACACAACAAGAGAAGAGATTGGAAAAACTTGTGTGTATTGCTCACGATCGTGGCCTGTATATGTACATCTCAAAGATAAGATTAAATCTAGCTATACAAGGAGCGTATCTCTGACGAATCCAATATCAAAAGCAACTAACTCTATCATATATTATATACGCAGAATCTTTTTCGTCCAATACTTTATAATATCTGTACTCTATTAATTCTTTTTAATTTTTATTTTTCCGTAATTTTAAAATCTATTTTTAAATATACAATCACTTGTACTATCCAACGAATAATATGTTTTTGTAATTTTCTCCAATTCTCAGCTGACACAACCATAGATAAGACAACCATAAATAGGACCACACGTGCTTGTTTTTTAAATGGATAAGATGTAACAATTTATTAAATCACCAAGGAGAAC